GTTGCACGCTTCACTGCATTGGCATCTAAGGCACGTCTGTCAAAAATAGCTTTTTTTTCTTTTTGGATGTCCAGTGTCGTCTAGCCGTGTGAACCTTAATTTTATTGGCCGCGTGGTGTCGCACAGCGTGGTGTCGCGCAAAACGACGACGTCTGTTATGGCGTCACTGGGAGGGGCGGGATTGGGGTGGTGCCCGCCCACCACTCGCCATTATGACGCAACCATCATTAAAGCAAACACTTTTATGCTAATTATTTGGTTCTTTCGGTTAAGTCACGTCTAAAGATAAAATAATAAATTAAATTAAATAATAGCATACGACGTTTCGATTACAACACAAGCAATCATCATCAGGTATAATGAAATAGCGACATAAAATCTAACCAGAAAACTATAGACAGACATATTAGCAGACAGATATCACCAAGATACATAGAGGGAGCAACACAGGAACCAGAGAGGGGTGATCATCTCTGTGGGGTGGCCTTAAATAGACAGAGGGGGGAGGAGGCAGAGAGAGGGAGGGGGTTAGAGAAAACATTTGCATATCAATGAGTGGTCCAAAAACAAGGTTCTGCAAGTGCGATGACACGGCAAGCAAGTCTGAAAATCAGAAGGACAAACTAAAATTCAATAACCTAGCAAAATATCGAAATGTAATGTAATACAACACAGAGAGTCGGTCAACACACAATTAACGCATAGCCTGGTTGATTACGTACTTCAAAGATTGCTAAGTTAGAATTTAAGTGTGAACATTCCAAAGAGAAGACACAGGCTATGCGTTAATTGTGTGTTGACCGACTCTCTGTGTTGTATTACATTACATTTCGATATTTTGCTAGGTTATTGAATTTTAGTTTGTCCTTCTGATTTTCAGACTTGCTTGCCGTGTCATCGCACTTGCAGAACCTTGTTTTTGGACCACTCATTGATATGCAAATGTTTTCTCTAACCCCCTCCCTCTCTCTGCCTCCTCCCCCCTCTGTCTATTTAAGGCCACCCCACAGAGATGATCACCCCTCTCTGGTTCCTGTGTTGCTCCCTCTATGTATCTTGGTGATATCTGTCTGCTAATATGTCTGTCTATAGTTTTCTGGTTAGATTTTATGTCGCTATTTCATTATACCTGATGATGATTGCTTGTGTTGCAATCGAAACGTCGTATGCTATTATTTAATTTAATTTATTATTTTATCTTTAGACGTGACTTAACCGAAAGAACCAAATAATCATTTACTGCAGTCACGAAAGTTCTAAAATTAAGACTTTTATGCTAGTTTGTGTGCGTGTCTTGTGTGTGTGTTATGTGTATGTTATATGTGTGTAGTATGTGCAGTGTGTGTGTTGTTTCTCTGTTGTGTGTATTGTGTGTGTCCCAAGGCTTGTAATTAAAACGTTGGCCGATGCAGTCATTCCCACGATGCCTTTCATGCAACCTGACATTACTCACACTCAGGGGCGCAGCTGTGGGTGGGTGGATATGTGGCAGCGTAATGCGATGCATCGGGGTCCAGTCGGCCACGAGGGGGACCCCGAATCAACAGATTACATTTTTTAAAATTCAATAATTGACATTGAATGCCAACAAAAAACATTTTTCCAAATGAAAAATACACAGCGTAACATGTAGTAGCGCTACTGCTGTTTGCTACTGAACAGCAGGCTGTTTGCTTACTGACATGCGCATGAAAGCAAGAATCACGATGACTTAATAGTGCGTATTGTACCTTTACATCTTCTTATTAATATTGTCACTGTGAGACTGTCTTCCTCGAAACCAATACACGGCGCAGCAACTAAAATTATGTGTAGTAATATTGTATACGGGTAAAAAAAAGACATCCGTAAGTTACGTCAGCAAAAGTGTGTCGGGAGAAAGGAGGGTGCCCACAGTCGGATTCTGCACAGCGCCCCCCACCCGCCCCCACGTTGCAATGCGTCGCTGCGCGCCTGCCCACACTGCGGGATACGTGAACACGGCCTTTGGGCGGCAGTGATGACGCTCGTACCTGACAGCAAGGAGCACCTGGGGTCAGGCGCCTCCCTGTGTGGGGCTTTGTGTGGTCTCCCCCTGTCCTGCAGAGTGTTAGTGGATACAAAAACAAGTGTGTGTGTGTAGATGAGAGTGGGAGAGAGGGTGAGTGAGTGTGAGTAGATGAGTGAATCAGAGTGTGAGTGGGGGAGGGTGTGAGTGAGTGTGAATATGAGGGTATAAGTGAGTGTGAGTGTATGAGAATGTGAGCGAGTGAGTGTGAGTGGATGAGAATGTGAGCGAGTGAGTGTGAATGGATGAGAACGTGAGCGAGTGAGTGTGAGTGGATTAGAGTGGGGAGCGGTGGTGTAGCGGTTTGCGCGCTGCACTACGAACCCCGGCTACCCGAGTTCGATTCCCGCTCACGGCCAGCACTAGGTCGACTCAGCCTCAAATGTCTACCTGATGAGATGTTTAAACATCGCCACTAGGGAGACAAATGCGGCCGGGCGTGGCCACGCAGCCCATCGTATGCCGTGCCGGCCTTCATAGATCCAACATTTGCCTCAGCATAATCAACGTTTTGGGGTTTAGATCGCGTTATTTATAAATGTGTCGTAACCCTCCACCACCCGACACGGCCAATCAGCAAAAAAAAGTGTCACGTTGACAAAAGACAAATAGTTCACTGCTTTAGCCCACCGGTGTGTTGAAGCGTGAAACCACAACATTTACAATTTTTGAGTAGTACGACGTTTCGCTGGTAATTGCATCCATCATCATCGGGCAATTCGCCAAAAACGTTGATTATGAATAATTTTGGTCGCAAAAGCCTACGTGTTAAATTTGCCTCAGCAGTCTGCTACGGCTATACGGGGGATCTGTGAGCGGGTAAATGAATTGATGTGCGTGTGGCGCGTGTGGCGTGTCGATGTTCTTCCCCCTCTTCTCTACGAATTTATTCCGGGTCTCTGCAGTTTCCTCCCAAAGCTAAACAAAAGCCACACGCAGTGTAACCGCTAATGACCGAACCCACCATTGTTCCTTACAAATTACTCCATTGGAATAACACGCAGCAACTTGCAGGGCGCCGTGAAGGCTGGGAGATGTTAACTCACTCGCTTGGTATACAGCGAAATGTGAGTTCGACCCCGACCCCTGCTGCGAATGTGGAGTCTGCGATGTATTTCTCCCCGTGGTTGTGTGGATTTTTCTACGGTGTTTTCCTCTCCACATTCATAATGAACATCACTGCGCGTTCAGAGTATCTGCTGCGATGCCGACCCTGGGGACGCCTACTATATATATTTTGAGTTTGCGTCTGTATACATTTGCACGTGATGAGAAGCCGCTTTGTTGAGCAATCATCTTTGATCGGCAGGTCGCTTCTGAGAAAGAGCTACTTAGCTCAGTGGGTCTTACCTCGTCAAATTAAACCGAGTTTCATAAATGTGACAGCGTTATGCGACGCATAGGGTGCACAGTCGGCCACAAGGGGGCCCCGAATCAACAGATAAGCAAGTACAAACATATTCTTGGTTCTTTCGGTAAAGTCACGTAGAAGGGAAATAATAAAATAATAAAAATATAAAGCAATACAATTCTCACGACGCTTCGACTGCAACACATCTGATGATGATTGATTGTGTTGCAGTCGAAACGTCGTGAGCATTTTATTGTTTTATATATTTTTTATTTTATTATTTCCCTTCTACGTGACTTTACCGAAAGAACCAAGAACATGAATCTCTGCAGTCACGAAAACTTTCAATCGAAAGTACAAACATGTTCAGATTTGTTTTAATATAGTCATTAGAAATCTCCTGTGGTCTACCATGGACCAAGCCCGATGATCGTATCATTAGAGCAGTGTAAAGTTGCCGGATCCACCACCACCTAGGAGGAAATCATCGAACCTATAAAGCCGAAAAGTTCACACAGCGTAACATCTCGTAGCGCTCCTGCTGCTGTCTGTTACTGAACAGCAGGCTGTTTGCTTTATACTGACATGCGCATGAAAGCAAGAATCACGATAACTTAATAGTGAGCATTGTACCTTTACACCTTCTTACTAACAATGTCACTGTGACACTGTCTTCAACTTAAATAATATAGACAGTAATACGCCGACATATTATTGTATACGGGTTACAGAAACATCCGTAGCTCTTTCTGTAAATGTGAGTCGGGGGAAAGGAGGGGGGTCCCGCACAGCCCCCCCCCCCACCCCCTACGTCGTAATGCGTCGCTGTGACCCCCCTGCGCCTCGAGAAAGGCGACGCGATCTCGCAAGGGACGGCGTGGGCACTGAGACCCTGACAAGACGTGCGCTGGGACGAGCTGTTGCCCCAACGCAACACGGTAGCAATCGGGCATCGGAGGTGTGTTAGCATGCTAATGAACATTCACTGAATTTATGCCGCTGAGTAACAAACAACTGGCTCCTCCGTAATGTCATTTTTTTTCTCTGGTCGAAAACTTTCCACTATCAGGATGGAGTAGTTTCGATTTAAAGCTTTCGTGACTGCAGGGATTCATCTTCTTGGTTCTTTCGGTAAAGTCACGTAGAAGGGAAATAATAAAATAATAAAAAATAAACCATAATCAAATAATTCTCACGACGTTTCGGCCACAACGCAAGCAGCCGTCCTCAGGTGAAGAACAGGTCTGTCAGACGCTGTCTTTCCGACAGACCTGTTCTTCACCTGAGGATGGCTGCTTGCGTTGTGACCGAAACGTCGTGAGAATTATTTGATTATTTATTTTATTGTTTGCCTTCTACGTGACTTTACCGAAAGAACCAAGAAGAGGATGGAGTAGATTATCTACTTTGATTATCACCTCAATGAAACCTGCAACTATATCCCAGTTCCTTTCCACCGATTTTGATTCACCCCCCAGCGTTGTCCAGAAAGTTCTGCTCGTCTAATCGAAGCGCAGAGTGACCGAGACGCCGGGTCCCCTGTTCGGGGAGGCGGGGGCGCGTGGAGGCAGCAGAGGCGCGGCACCACCCCCGGCGCGTTACCTGCAGCGTGAGCTGCGTGGAGCAGCAGCAGCACCAGAACCGTGGCGGGGATCGTGGAGCGGCACCCCCAGCCCATGCCTCTCTCTCTCCGCACGAGCCGCGAGGTCTGGCAGAGCCCCGCGCAGGCTGCCTCGTAGACGGGGCACTGAACGTGCATGGGGAAGTTCCCTGCACTGCCAAGTGGTTGCCTGCCTCAAACGCTGGCTCTATAAACACGGAATTGATGATTGCACATTTCCCCCTTTGTGCGTTGGCGAAGGATGGGAGTCGCTCTGAGACAGGGCTCGGTTATAATGTGGTAGTGAGATGGATCAGGACTGTGAAGGAGGAGGTTGTAAACTGGAATATCGATCGTGTTGAACCCAAACCCATCGTGTGTTGTGACTGGGTTTCGAGGATTGGATGAGGATAATTATGATGATACATTTCAATAATAATTTACCTAATTATCCAAGGAACTCTTTTTTCAGAAGCATCCTGCCACATCGGGATGTTTGTTTGAAGATGTTTAAAGCCGATTAACGATGTGTGCATATTATTCACGTTTGAGGACACCGTAGATCCATAAAAAAAACCCCACGCTTTAAGCGAGGCAGCACTCTATTCCCATACAAATGTAAACAGATGAGCATTAGTCCATTTGCTGCATTTCCTTCTCCTTGCGAGCCAGGGTATAGCACCCAAGAACTATGAACTTTTTATGTTTACCAATAAGGCCCACTTCGCGATGAAGCTCTTTTCAGAAGCGACCTGGCCACAAATGATAGCGCATTGAAGTGGCTTATTACGTGGACAATTAATACGGCCAAATTCTCTCAATGTATATTCCTCAAATGTGGCGGTAAAAAACGGAAAAAAATGCACACGATCACATGGAGAACACGCAAACTCACAATATACAGGCGTCAGGGTCGGGATAGAACCCACAACCTCCTGTAAACTAGGCGATGTAGTTAACATCTTGCCACCGTAATGCCCTCAATGCCCACGAGAAGGGAGTTTCCTAATATTTATGCGATCTACCAAACCTCACCTCCACAGTGCTGGATTACACGCCATCTGCAGAGACACTTTCCGCTGGGCGATTAAGAGGGTAGGCATATAGGACAGCGGTCGGGAACCTATGGCTCGCGAGCCATATATGGCTCTTCCGGTGACGGCATATGGCTCCCAGACAATTTTGAGTTGAAAAAAATAATAATATAATAATAAAAATAAAATCAGTTTGGAACTGATTTTAAAATACTTGTGATATTGCTTAATAATACTGTGTCATTTTAAAGTAAACAGAAATTAGTTTCGAAGATAAAATTTCTCGGGTCACGAATCCCGTGACCAGAAGTCGCATTAAAAGTAAGACATTTAATTTATTATACGTAAAAAATACTATATGGCTCTCAATGAAATATATTGAGAAATATTTGGCTTTTATGGCTCTCCCAGTCAAAAGGGTTCCCGACCCCTGGTATAGGAGAACCAATCAGATACTTTAGGAGCTCTAAGGAAACCAATACGGGGAGAGACAGTGACGAGCGGCAGTGGAGATCGGTGAATTATCCAAGTGTAGTGCAGATTTTCTAATTCGGATTTTATGGATGAACATGGCCCAATGTAGATTTCTTCTTGCATATAGCGACAAGAGATTGACTTTTAAGTAGGGGTCACAATGGTGGTTCCTGCATGGTGCATCCAGCGCAAATCCAAGAGCAGCATGATTAAAGGGCATGTTTTTGTTTGCATGTTCACGTGTGGTTAATGCAGATAGGATTCTTTGAAAAAGGATTATCTTTGGTGTTTTAACATCAGAACACCTGTTTTATTGCCAGAAAGGGTGAAACCTATTGTTATATGGGGTTTAGTCTGTTTAGTGGTTCATTAGTAGCTGATCTGTAAGCACCGTCACAGTCGTCAAACAGTGGCAATAATAAAATGATAGCTTCAACTATTTGCATGTGGAATAGAATGGGAAAACAGTGTTTGTTTCTGCATAAAACCCCTATATTTTTATTTTATTGTATTTAAGATGTGATCAATGTTGCGTTTGAATGTGAGTTTTCGTTCAGTAAACCCAAGTATTTGAAGCACTCTGTTTGTGCAATGATTCTGTTTCTGATATCTGTAATAGGTAAAGGGCATGAAACTGGCTTTTAGTTTGAAAAAAAAGACCATGATCTTCATGTTTGAGGGATTTATGAACAATTTTAGTGATGGGAATTGATGTTAAATGAAGTCGAAGTCGCGTTGGAGATTTTGTTTGACTTCGTTCGCAGATTGATCCCGATAATAGCATGCCAATGTAATCAGCAAAGAGATTTAATTTTGAGTGAATTAAGTTTAGTCCAAAATTGTTATCATGAGAATAGAATTGGACGCAGGTAAATATTCTTAGGTGTTTTCGGTAAAGTTTTTTCGGTAAAGTCACGTAGGTAAAACATCAAAATTAATAAAAAATAAAATAAAATAAAGATCACGATCTTTATAAAGATCACGATCTTTATTTTATTAATGAAAATAAAATAAAGATCACGATCTTTATTTTATTTTATTTTTATTAATTTTGATGTTTTACCTACGTGACTTTACCGAAAAAACCTAAGAATATGAATCCTTGCAGTCACGAAAGCTTCAAATCAAGGACGCAGGTAACTTTCAAGAACGGTCTGAGAGGTACCATTTAAACCATGTCATTGTACTGCCTGAAAATGTTAGTTGAGTAGTCACGAAAACTTCAAATCTAAGTTGAGGAATAGTGCACATGCAGTCGTGGCCTCTATCCAGGTGACTGAAGAGAACATTGAATACATCCACCATTGCTATGGTGCTGCAGTAATCCTCTAGAAAATCAGATTCTGGTGGAGATTGTGACTTTTTAGGTGGCAGTTTCTGAGTTTTGGAATATTATAGTAACTGGTGAAAGAATATAAATTGGTCTATGATGACGATTGCTAGTGTTGCGATCGAAACGTCGTGATCTATTATTATTTCTTCCTACGTAACTTTACCAAGAGAGCCAAAGAGTATGGTATATTATTATTAGGCTCTTATTTGGAGCCATTCTTATATTCTGGACGAATAAGAGCGGATTTTCACTCGTGGAAATATATCTTGGATAAGTGAGAGGTTGAAATGTGTGTGAGGGGTTTATAGATGAGATCTGCCACAGCCACAAGTGCAAATGCAGGGAACTAATTTTCTTCCGTGGATGATGATGCCTTTAATTGATGCAAATTTATACAGTACGTTCATTTTAGATATGAGACTAAAAAACAAGTATAGATGATAACTTCAACTAACAATTTCATGGTTAGTGAGTGATTTGAACGATGGTGTATTTATAGACATTTTATTCTGATGTTTTTGTCAAAGAGATGCCCTATTGATCCAAAATGAGAATTAAATACATTGCCAATATCTTGTTTTATGAGCAGTTCTTTGCCATCCAGTAATATTTGTTTTGGAAACAAAACTCCACTTTACTTTTCTTTGTGTTCCACTCAATTATTCTACCAGAATAATTTGGTGCAGCATTTCCTTAGGATGCAATATTTGGTTCAGTTAGAGTCCACACCCGTTTGGAGTGGATGAGTTGTGCAATTTATGGGTTGAACCAGTGGGGCTTGATTTTCCCTGAATATTAACTTTTCAAAAGCAGGCATGGTTATCAACATAGAAAGGAGGCGCGATCAGAAGAAATACCGAGTGGTGTCCAATATGAGAATCTTACAGACGTGAGGTGGGTCAGAACTGTCGATGTCGTGGATGAAAGACCTGATGGTCAAATTATTTCACAGAGCGTTTAAATATAATTTCACGTGGATGTTTGAGCAGTTTCCTGTATGTCGAAATTCCAAATATCGAGCGGTCACTAAGATGAGTCCCCAACTTAAAAAAACTTTTCTGGAGCATTTGACACGAGGACGCAAAGGATTTATGAGTGATCAGGGTTTTGTGTTTTTATGTTAGGATGCATCAGATTGAATTCAAATCTAAAGGCAAGAGCTTCAGTTGGAGGATTCATTCCAGTTCACGTCAGCAGTGATAATCAACTCCCCTTCAGGTGAGGCAGAAACAGCATTCAGCAGAAGTAGCAGCGACTCAAAACCACAGCTTTTTGATGGCAAGTATCAGCACACAAGAATGTATTGATGAAAAATAAGAATAGTTTTTTCCCTTTCTCTCAATAAAACAGGAGCCGAGTTAATATGTTCAAACACCAAACAGATACCTCTGCAAGGCATCACGTCTGCATTAACATCTTAACATTTTAACACCCATTTTATTGCCAGGAAGAGTCAACCCTATTCTAATATTTTAAGATTTTTTGATACTGCCAAAAAAGAGTTCCATAGATAATGATGTGTTGGTTCCCGAGGAGAGTTATCTTCAATCAAAGGGCATTGAGGTGATCCTCAACATGCGTTGTCGCTGGTGTACGTAGACTATACCAGCGCCCATCTTCGAAGGCCTGTTCAGTCTTGCGGAATTTAAGTTATCCATACCAATTGAGTTTGTGTTTTTCTAGACGCGAGCCTAGTTTCAGCGATGCATAAAAACGTCGATTTCAGGCACTTTAACGCAATCCACGCGATCCATCTGGTGCGTGCTTCTCGATCTGTGTTCGCTGGGCAGTTTGCACTCTTGGATATGGATGTGAGGGGCTGTGAGGTGGTGTGAGCTTGCCGATATTGTTGTCCAAGGAGAGAGGCAGATGGGGTTATAACTTCCTCTTTTCTCCATCTCCATCTCTCTGTCTATGGACGAGTCACAGGGGTAGAGGGAAGTGGCGACTGAGGTGGCGTTTCTCAATGTGGTGCCATCTGCTGTACGAGTGAAACGCTTTAAGGAAGTTGGACTACTTGAAGAGGCGAAATAGCGCTTTGCTTTTTGTAAGGAAAGTAAACATCACACTGAAGCAGATACGGCGAAGAAAAGAGAGTTAATGTTAAATGTATTGATCACTTTGTTAAATTTTGATTTAAAGCTTTCGTGACTGCAGGGATTCATCTTATTGGTTCTTTCGGTAAAGTCACGTAGAATGGAAATAATAAAATAATAAAAATAAAACATAATTAAATAATTCTCACGACAGACCTGTTCTCCACCTGAGGACGGCTGCTTGCGTTGTGGCCGAAACGTCGTGAGAATTATTTGATTATGTTTTATTTTAATTATTTTATTATTTCCATTCTACGTGACTTTACCGAAAGAAACAAGAAGATCACTTTTGTTGTTCCAAATACGAACTCTCCTCTGCAAAAATACAATTAATCTTACACTGCACTGTACTGCAGTGTGGTTGGTCTGAAGGCCACCCCACCACCCCTCCCCCAACCACCACCCTCACTACCACCCCCACCACCCCTGCCCCCACCACCGCCCCCCATCCCCCACCACCCCTGCCCCCACCACCCCTCCACCCCATCCCCCACCACTAACGCATA